GCTACCGCATGCTCTGCATATGCTGAAGGAACTGTCTCAACAGACCCCTAGTAGCAACACCCTGTTAAAAGTGGTAATCCGGAGGATACATAGGTGGAGTGGTGCCCAAGGTGGAACCGGGGCTTTAACCAACTCAAGAAAGGGCACGAAGCCGCCGCGCGAAGCCCTCACCATACAGGATTTTAGAAAGAACGCAAAGTACTAGCGTGCGAACTTACCACAGTGTGGATTTTAGAAAGTGTACAAAGACTTCACATGCACACTTACCATAACATGGATTTTTAAAGATACCGTTCTAAGGGGCCCTCGTGGCACTCTGAAAGAGCAGCCCATAGATGGAAATGGTGCATCCCAAAAACAATAGGTTTGAGAAGTCATCAACTTGATCTAAGGTATAATGCTGGAGTGGCTAGCAGCACATATCTAGCTGAGGGAGCAACACACCCAAGTTCTCAATCGAGAGGGGGCTCGACCTACAGCATGTTCCAATGCTGGAACGGCTAGCAGTAAGTTACCTAGCTGAGGGAGCACAACACCCAGCTTTCAACGAGCGGGGGCTCGACCTACAGCATGATCGTTAAAAATCAGAAGGGTAAGCGTACTGCAAGCTAGCCAAAAAACTAGGCCTAGTTCGCCTGATGCTGCTGGTTCTAGGTGCTCTGGGAAAACAGAGAACTCAACTCTCACCTGAGAGGAGAACTCCGAATTCAGAAAAGGAGTAGCGTGCTCATAGGCAACCCTTTGATAAAGAGGAGCACTGCTAATACTACCACGAGAACAGCCCACAGAGCGAGGAATCCAACTCCTCAGAAGGGGAGAGGACTCGAGCGCTCGAAAGGAAGCACCATGCTCACAATAACCCTCAATGGTGTCAACAGAGACACACTGGTTGAGTGGAGCCACAGGGAACCGGGGTCTAAGCCAACTCAGAGAAAGGAAACGAGGCTAATAATGTGTAATCCTTACCATACAGATTTCAGAAAGTGCACAGAGTCTAGCGTGCACACTTACCACTATGTGGATTTTAGAAAGTGCGCAAAGTGTTCAGCGTGCACACTTACCACCAAGTGGATTTCAGAAAGTGCACAAAGCTTAGCGTGTGCACTTACCACAGCATGGATTTAGAGCTTCCCAGCATCTGTTCACAGATACCCGGAAGTACTGAGCCAAACGGGAGAGGCAAGCTCAAATACAACCCTCTGAGGCGAGGGGAGCGCTGCCTGAGACAGCATTACACAAGAAGGTTCTCGCAAATGCCACCTATACTTCCCGCTCGATGCCTCAGCAAGAGGGGATATCCTGGTGACCAGGAAGCCCCTCAGGGCGACCTAGATACGGCGTACCAGACAGAGCAGAGCGGGGAATTCAACTCCTCAGAAGGGGAGAGAACTCGAACGCTCGGAAGAAAGCACCATGCTCATAAATAACCCTCTACAG